AATACAAAGCTCACATTAATTAATAACATTAATAAGCAATAACTCTTATAGTAGTATTGCTTATTATTATTGACAAATACCATCAAGTTGATTCCAGCTGCTGGTGACTGGATGGATTGTGTTCATCTATCATCATCTAGTCTCCATCCATCATGTTGCTGGCAGTCCTCTTTGTGTTTTACTTATTTTCCAGTGAATTGGTTCTTCTCATAATGTGTTCAAAATCAGAGAGCTTCAATTTGGTTTTCTGGGCTTTGAGTGAGAAGTGAGTCTTGATTTGGTGAAGAATCCATTTGTTTGCCATCAAAGGTGGTCTTCACCAGCACCAAAGCTTAAAATCAGTTTTATTTCAAATTGAATCATAACTGTGTCTTTGTTATCAACTAACGAGCATGGTGTTCTTCAAAGTTGCTTTGACCTCACATTCATCACCACTTGGTGCCTTTGGAGCTCTGTGATTGTGGCTTATTTTGAAATATATTGCACACATGTGAAAGGCCTTGATTACAGCACAGGGTATAAATGACTGTAGTGTAGGAGCAGCACAGCCTAATAAAACCTAATTTCGGTCATACCAGAATATATCAGAGTAAAAGTACCTCTAGCACCACTAACGCTTTAAAATGAGTGTCATTGATGTCCACACGACACTTTGTCTAGGTAACTGTAATACCACATCCTGAGACGACGGGGGCTTTCACCAGCAGCACCTCATAGAAGGAAAAACTTAAGTAAAAGCAAACTTAGAAATCTTAGAAATCAGAATTTTCTCCCTGATGTCAATTAACAAACATGATGTACGTGTTTATATGCACGTGCATGCATTTCTGAATGTGGGCCTGTATGCAGTATGCCGAAATCTGCTTGTGTGTGGTGAAACGGTATGTGGACTTGTCCATGTAAAAAGCCAGAGGAGGTGGTTTTGCTAGCTGTGTCATCCTCTGCCCTTGACAGTGAGCCTGTGGCCTTTCATGTAGATTTTATGAAGGATGGCTGGTTCACTGTAGCTGATGTCCTTGCCCAGAGTCATTTCTTTACACAGGTGGAAGCCAAATAAAGCAGCAAAGACCATCAGGCAGCCTTCACAAACAAACCATCTGGTAGAATTTAAGAACTGAACATTTTATTTAATGGCTAAAATTTTCAGGGCCTTCAGTAAAATTCTTACAAATTGTATGAAAAAAGGTCATATAGTCCTTTACACAATATACAGTACAGCTGTTTTTATAAGCATTCATAGCATTTCATCATTTACTGGTTTAAGTTCCAGCTTAATGTTATTTGTTGTTTTATTGTTGTATTCTATAGTTTCTTGTATCACTCAGCCTCATCAGTTTGACAAAATTCATAATTTAAAATTGTTTTTGGGTTTTCGTTCCTCAACATTCTCTCACTACAACACCCCGCATGCATTAATCCCTGTGGTGTCAACCAGTTATGACTTCTTGCCTAGCCAGTTATCTATAGGCTAATATCTACATTCAAACTAGCATTAGTGTACATCTCACTTTGGTCATTGAACATCATAAAGAAAATACTGATTTTTTCTTCATTCTATACAAAATAGATGCCAGAGACGCATTTTTTTTTTACCAGAGACAAACAGCCAAACTTGGGTCAGATATGTAAATAACCAGCTACTTTGCTAACGTTACATTTATATTGTTGTCCACCTCGTCTAATGAGTTATTTCTGTCATGCCCAGCTGAAACAATCAGTTACTACTTTTGTGAGATGAATCCAAAACATTTACTACATTCATACAACTGTAACAAGATTTTTGGGTTCCTAGCAGTAACTTTATCTACACTCAGGTTCATAAGTATTTGGACAGGGACACAATTTTTGTAATTTTGCCTCTGCAGACCACCACAATGGATTTGAAATGAAATACCAAGATGAGATTGAAGTGTAGACTTTCAGCTTTAATACAAGTGGTTTAATGACAATATTGCATTAACTGTTTAGGAATTACAGCCATTGTTGTACACAGTCTCTCCACTCACAGGCTCAAAAGTAATTGGACAATTGTCGCTAAACATTTTTATGGCCATGTGTGGCCTGTTCCCATGTTATTTAATAAAAGGTTAAGGTGATAAAAGGTCTGGAGTTGATTCCAAGAGTTGAAAATGCATGTGGCAGCTGTTCATGGGAACTCTCAATATGTGGTCCAATATGGTTAGAAATAAAGGTTCTGTTCAGGTACTTTTCTCGTTCACCAAGGTACAAACCATTTAAATGTTCCCTCAAAAGGTACAACAGTGGTTTTAAGGTTGTAACGAGCCAACAAGAGTCAGACGCTTGCGGTTACAAAACACAATTGAGGCTTTACTGTTAGAATCAAAATCCAAGTTCGTAGTCACAAAACAGGCAGGGGTCAATTCCAAAATGAGCAATAAATACAAATAGATGATCATCACCAATGGCAAACAATCCAAGAGGGTTAAGCAAAATGGCAGTGTCAAGGAAAACAGGCAAAAAGGTCAAAAACAGGAGTCAAACCAGAAAGGCAAACAGTCCAAAGGGGAAAGGCAAAAGGCAGAGTCAAAAAATGGAAAGCAATGGTCATAAACAGTATACAAGCAAATAGTAGAACACTCAGTAGATCACAAAAGATACAATACCTCGCAATTAGCTATGGCTAAAGCCCGGGCTTATAAACTAAACTAAGAAGATCATATGACATGAGACACAGGTGAAGAGAATCAGTATTCAGGAGATCTAGAGCGCTGATTGGTGCATACAGAGAGGTCAGGAGTCATGTGATCTCCCAGAGGGTTCTGGGAGATGGAGTCTGAGTGAGACTCTGTGTGTGAGGGAAGCTCAAGAGTCATGTGATCTCCCAGAGGATTCTGGGAGATGTAGTCTGGGTTCGTCTTGGAGCTTGACGGATGCGTGACAAAGGTCCGATTGTGTACCTTAAATAAGTTTTTCCAGGTGAAAAGTACATACTTGTATCTTTTCATAACCTGATATTTTAAAACAGAACAATAAAATAAAAAGTCTGGAGTCTAGACGGGGTGTGTGGAGTCAGTACAACTTAGAAAATATAATTTCAATGGATTATGGTACAATTATGTTCCTTGACTGAAGGTACTGAGATGTACCCTTGAGGATACTCTTTGAGGAGGACTCATTAACACTGACATTAGCCAGTTTAAGAGGGGCCTGCAGATCCTTAGATGTCGTGCAGAGTGATTTGGTGTGAAATGCTCCGTTCTAGAGAAACTTACCTACTCAGATTTCTTTACAGTGGTGGTGACAGGAACCAGGAATCGATGCATCCAACATAAATGAGACATTTTATTTACTGTCCAAAATGACCAGTGAACTTACATGTGCCTTCTGAGTTTTAATATGTAATGTTGATAGTATGTAAGTGGTAAATCTGAAAATGTTGCCATACAATTGCCTGCATGTATGTCTTCACCATGAGTGCATTTTAAAAAAGCAGTTCAGGCCAAAAACCTTATTATGAAACTATCATAAAGCAATGTCTCAGGCATCAGACTGCTTATTTACAACCGTTTCATTTAATAACTTCCTGTGAGGGAGGAAGCATTAAGCTCCTCAAATGTCTGGTTGCTATCACCACCACAACTGACTCAGCAAGTTTCTCTAGAACAGAGCATTTACATCAAAACACTTTCTTTACATTTCAACCACTGAATTATGCAGAAACTTGAGAAATCAGTGGAGTTCCCCTTTAAAGTTTACAAGACAACTCTGCAGGATGTAAAGCAAGTTTTTATTTAGTTATTATAAACGTTGTAAATATGCCATCTCAGGAGTGTCCCAAAATTAGAACACTTTTTAAACAGAGCGATCAGAGCTCTCTGTATTTGCAGTTACATTAGTCATCTGTGTATTACATACATTGCATATATTATACATATAGTAACAGTAGTGAAAGCAGAAAGAGGTTTCTCCCCACAGTGTGCTTCAGAGAGTCCAGACGACGTCAGTTCCCCTGTCCAGACGACGTCAGTTCCCCTGTCCAGACGACATCAGTTCCCCTGTCTCTGTTTTAACAGACTAAATATGTGACAGTAATGGTTTCAGTGGTAGAACTGGGGACAAATTCACTGTGCAGTTGTAAGAAATGAAGGTAGCAGCGTCTTGTAATGGTGCAATGTAATGAATTTATGAGAAGTTAAACTAGTGTGGATGGGGACACAATATGTTGTAAGTGTATGTCAGTGTAAATGTGCATTGTTGTTAATGCAGGTCTGCTCCCCAGCAAAAACTTCAGCCTGGCTCAGACAGTCAAGATCTGCAGATATATCAGATTATCAGAGCACAGTGTGAGTTCGCTCTAGAATTTAATTCTGGTAGGAGGGCAGTCTCCCATGATCAGACTTGGATACAGATGAAAGAGAGGCTTTAATGCCCCCTAGTGGTGGAGGACAGACTTAGCTAAACCATTAAGCATGTTGTTGAAGTTGTTTTCAATGTCCATCATTTGCCAGACATTTTGATTGTATTCAAATGTATTTTTTTATCATCTGCAGTGATTCTCACATTATTGGCCTTTTGGGAGCGTCGCTATCTCTTACACACTTGTAAATATCTGTCACAAAGTGTAAATAGCAATACATTTCTTCCCCTAGAGCTGAGCTAGGATTATAACTATTGGCAGAGACAAGCAAAAACAAAACAAAACAAGCAAAAAAGTCAATGTTAAATGTTCTTGCTCCTTAAACTGTAATCTGTCATTACATTCTCAGAAAAAAGGTGCTGAACTGTCACTAAGCCTGTGCCCCTCTTGTCATTGGGCTGCCCTGAAAGGTACATCTCAGTACCTTTAGATAGGGAACATAATTGTCACATATTCTATTGCAATTTTTATTTTCTAAGTTGTATTGACTCCACACACCCCGTCTTGTCTCCAGGCTTTTTACTTTATTGTTCTGTTAAAAACATTAGGTTATCAAAGGGTACAAATATGTACTTTTCACCTGGAAAAACGTATTTAAGGTACACAATTAGACCGTAAGACCACTGTTGTACCTTTGAGAGAACATTTACATTTTTACCTTGATGAATGAAAAATGTTTCTACACACAGTACTTTCATTCTGACAGTGTACTTATTGTAATACACATTTATCTAATACAAAGTTTAACTTAAATGGACAGAAAAGTCATAAGAAATCACTTATGTCTATGACTGACAAATTTTACAATATTACATAAGATATATTTACAAATATATCTACAGTCTGTTATCTTGGCCACATCGCTCCAAGCCCCAATTCAGAAATGCACTATACAGGTAACATTATCAATCACATGACTGAAGGAGCCAAAATAAATAAATAATTAATCACAAATAAATTAATAAACTGACAAACTGACTACAATCATAAAGCTGTCATTTAAGCTTCATATTGCACTGAAAGCGGGGTGTATTTTTATTTTATCTATATATAAGCACACCCAGATATTTAAAATACAATAACAATCTTTGCTTTGAGTTTACAGGTACAGTTCCTGCATTGTTCTCTTTATCTGATTCCTTTAAAGAATAAGTTCAACCAAAAAACATTGTAAGTCATTTGTACTTTTTGCTAAATTACATTTTTTTCAGGTGTCAGTAAATACATTTGGGCTGTTCTGCTGTATTTTCCTTTCCATATGCATGATTAAAAGTTAATATCGCTTGTCATTTCCAGGGTGTTCTTTGAATGTTGAATCTTGACTGGAAAGAGTCTTTCCAGAACACAGAGTGGTTCACCTTCTCAAATTCAAAGCAAAGCATAATGTGACAGCTGATTCTGCCAGCTGCTCTGAAATATTAGCAAGAAAAGTCTGTCGTTGTTGTTGACAATCCTAACTTTGACCACAGTGATCTACTATAATCAGTAATGAAAATCAATAGCATAATTGGTAATGATAATCAATAGGATAATCTAACCCATTATTCAGTCTTAATATTCTTTATTTGATTCAAACTTATCTTGATTGTGACTTCAAAGAAGTGATTTCTGCTGCTGTCTTCTTCAACATGCGACCTGCACCGAATCATGACTGAACATCTTAAATAGGCAGCTGAAGTCTTGTAGATTAGTCTCCAGACCAGACTGAGCGATGTCCTCTTGCTCTTGCAAGGTTGATTTGATTTATCCCACGTGCTGTGTGAAAAAAGACTTGATGACCATACTGATGACCGATTCAGAAACCATAGTTTGTGCAAGACGATGTGTGATTTTAATTTAATTTATTTACTTATTTTCACTCTGTAGTTAAAATGAATCTACAATGTCCATGACAGATAGATAGATAGATAGATAGATAGATAGATAGATAGATAGATAGATAGATAGATAGATAGATAGATAGATAGATACTTTATTGATCTTGAAGGACATTTAGCAGCCAGTAGCAGTCACACAACACAGGACAGTTATAATAATAAGAGTGATACAATATAAAAAGAAAAATATATACAAAAACTATCTACAGGCATATAGGCATATGCATGTAATAGAATATTTATTGGCCAGACAGTATGTAATTTTTAATAAACTGTTTATTAAACAGAGACATTGGTGACCCCCAGTGGTGGAGGACTGGAAAACATTTTATGAAAACAGACCTATGCTTTACATTATATGGACAAAAGTACTGGCCATGCAGTCTGCCTTTACAAACATGTGTGAAAGAATGGGTCGTTCTAAAGAGCTCACTGGGTTCAAGCGTGGTACTGTAATAGGATGCCACCGGTGCTGTCAGTTTGCAAAATTTCTTCCCTCTTAGATATTCCATGATCAACTGTGAGTGATATTATTGAAAAGTAGAAGCGTCTAAGAATCACAGCAACTCGGTCACGAAGTGTGAGACCACAAAGTTACAGAGCAGAGTGCTGAAGTGCATGGTGCATAAAATCGCCAACGCTCTGCTGACTCAATAACTGCAGGGCTCCAAAGCTCCTCTGGCATCAACATTTGCACAAAAACTGTCCGATGGGAGCTTCATGGCATGGGTTTTAATGGCTGAGCAGCTGCATGCGAGCCTTATGTCACCAAGCATTATGCCAAGCGTCGGATGGACTCCAGAGCAGCAGAAACGTATTCTGTGGAGTGACAAATCACGCTTCTATATCCGGTAGTCTGATGGATGAGTCTGGATTTGGTGAATGCCAGGAGAACGTTACTTGCCTGACTGCATTGTGCCAACTGTAAAGCTTGGTGGAGGAGGGATAATGCTATGGGGTTGTTTTCAGGAGTTGGCCTAGGACCCTTAGTTCCAATGAAGGGAAATCTTAATGTTTCAGCAAACCAAGACTTTGTGGGAACAATCTGGGGAAGGCCCTTTTCTGTTCCAGCATGACTGAGCTCCAGTGCACAAAACAAGGTCCATAAAGGCATGGCTGGGTGAGTTCGGTGTGGAAGAACTTGACTGACCCTCTCAGAGCCCTGACCTCAACCCCATCAAACACCTTTGAAATGAGCTAGAACAGAGATTGCGAGCCAGACCCTCTCATTCAACTTCAGTGACTGACCTCACAAATGCTCTTCTGGATAAATGGGCACAAATTCCCACAGACACACTCCAAAATACTATAACTGCAAAGGGGGGACCAAGTCTTCATTAATGCCTATGGATTTGGGATCTCATAAAAGCTTCTGTAGGTGTAAAGTGTAGGTGGCCCAATACTTCTCTCCATATAGTGTATGTCCAAAAATATCCAGACACCCCTGTAATTATTAAATTTAGCTGAATACAATTGAATCCTCACAGCACAGTTCTAACATCTAGTTTAAAATCTTTTCAGAAGAGTAAAGGCTGAGCAAAGAAGCACAAACTCTGTTCATACTCTTGATTTTAGAGGAAACTCTGGATGAGCAGGTGTAAACTGTTTGACATACAGTGTATAAAGAGCTGACTAAACTACTACAGGAGGGACTTTTATGTTCAAAATAATGACACATCATTCAGAAATTTAGCAGGTTTTAGGTTGTTTCCAGAAGTCTGCCCATACACCAGGGGTGTACAACTCCAGTCCTGGAGGGCCGGTGTCCTGCACAGTTTGATGATTTACCTGCTCAAACACACCTGAATACACTCATCTGTTAACTGCCAGGTTTAGTGTGTTTGAGTTGGGGGCCTGCCAAACTGTGCTGGACCCTGGGCCTCCAGGACCAGAGATATGCACCCTTGCCATACACTAATTTTTGTCAAAAATGTTATTTGTTTTTCAATGATTAGTCTATTTCTACATATCAATGACCTTTTATGGCCTTTCCTACATCTTACAAACAATCTGTTAAGAGATTAACGCTGTGTGAAATGTCACTCAGTGCTTACCAGTAAGATTCCAGACTCCAGTAAAATTCCAGAGAAATCTTCAGTTCAGTCTTCTGTCTCCATATATAGAGTTAAACCTCTCAAAATACTGGCTGTTCTGAACGCGGTCAGTTCTTCTTCCTTGTGTTTGCTATTGACAAACAAATGATAAATGACACGATGGAGTTAACTTGGTTAACTTGTCAAATGGATTAAACAATTTCACAAGATCTGCAAGCAAAATATTAAAATGAAAGCAAAAAACTAATTTGTGCAGTTGTCTCTTTACTCTAAATGTAGTTTATCGCCAAGACATATTTAATAAAAGCTATGACCTCAGTAATGAAATTTAGAAATGAGTCTAATGTATCTAATATGTAATGAAAGCTTAATTCCCCCACACTAAATAGCTTAAATAGATGATATTGCTAATGTTTCTGACTCGACTCTGGCTCTCTCTGAAGGGGTGACCATAAAGATTTAAAAATGGACATTTTGTAATTTCATTGTTCAGTGTCTACATGAAAAATACAAACAAAAAAAGTAAGCAAATGTCTAAAGGAACACACCATGAGCTATTAGCCTGAGCAACATCCTGTCTAACAATCTCAGACAGACATTTAATGCTGATTTATAAACCTATAACACATTTTATCTGATCAAAACTAACTTTTAATATGCTATTCTATCATGATTTAACTGCTTATGGAGGGTCGCTTAGGGATCATGCCAAATTTTAGTTGAACAATACGCATTTATGGTGGACGTCTCCTTCCCACCTGACAAAAAGTGCCTAAACTTAGAAGCAAAGACAGAATCTCAGAATCAAAAACACACCAGATAAATCAGCAAAAAGCAGCAGAAGCAAATACTACCAGAAAGGCAACAAAGCAGAGAATCAGATGACTTTACAGAAAAAACAAAAAAATAAAAAATACAAGTTAGATTTATGTCTATTATATGTATTTCATTTTTTTTTGGGGTTAATTTTATTTTTAAAGTTTATCTTTATCTTGTAGATGTTTTTGTTTAATACCTTTGGTACAAAATTAAATTCAACACTATTTACAAGCTATTGAATACAGTAATGTCTTAGACACCTAAACTACATTGTTTAAAACCATTTATTTTAGCAGCAATATGTTTGAGCTTGTAAAAACACCTTTTAATATTAGAATTAATATAGATAAACATAAATACCATAAAAGTAACCAAAATTTCTTGTTTTTAGAAATGAGTTGATATCTTGTGAGTATAAATAAGGTTTGGTTGCAGGTTTCTCCTCAACGTCTCCAGACATCACATTTGTTAGTTACATTTCATCTCCAGCACAAATGAGATCATTTAACAAAGCACTAATCAGCCAAAGCAAATATTGGACCATAACTACAAATAATACTGAGCTGGAAATGGTTATGGCCAGATATAAAATCACTACTTATTATATTAACATTATCTTTTGGAATATTAGTGTAATTATGAGTGTATTAGTGTGTTTTGTAATTATTGTAATATTAGTGGTTTTCTGAGAAAATAAATTACGGTTACTGACCAGTTAAAAAACTTTTTAAATGGAATTTTCTCAAGCGCCTAAAACTTTTGTACTTTTGTGTAAGACATTTAGTGGCTGGTCACACGATTACACAGGGACTGATTGATTGGGTATATATAAGTTCGGTAAGATGTTTTGATACACCAAATTTAAGCACCAAGAAAAGTTCATTAAATTAAATTTTATTAAATGACACTGAACTAGATATTGATAAATTCTTTGTTTAAAGAAACTCCAAATCATGTAAAGGTTATATACTAATTAAAGGTTTTTTTTTGTTTTGTTTTGTTTTTTTCTAGAGACCATATCCAAGATAAGAACCATTTAGAAATCTTTGGCCCAAAAGCCGCACCATTCTGACCACTAGGTGGTGAGAAACGCCCACTGTTGGAGCTTCACTCTCAGTGCAATTACAATAAGAGGATTTTGTATTCTTATTTTATCACATGTACAACTAAATAATAATAACTTTTAATTAATAATTATTGTACTTCACTAAATCTAAGTTGGCCAAACTTCAGTGGGGAGCACTCCTCTAATCTCCTGAAAGTTTTTTCTTACATTTGTGTGGTTTTATGTCCTAAAAACAGTAATCATTCCTTTTTTCATGCCCATTTTCCAACCTCTCTTTGTTACTTTAAATTAAACAGGTTGTTTTTGTTACTTTGCCCTCAAGACTGATATCTCACTGCTGTCGGGACAAAACCTTGTATCTCCATTTTTGTCGTTTTTCAGTTTTTGACATAATTTGAAAGTGTCTGTTGCCCTTTACATTGTGTGTAAATTTCATGAAGAATGGACCAAAAGCAAAAACCCCAAATGACTTTGAAAAAAGTCTGGTTCCACTGACTTACATTAAAATTAAAGTAGCTTTTTCCTTCTCCTGTAAAGTTACCATTTTATAGATATGAGGTTTTCTTCTGACAACAGCGATACGTAAATGAGCTCTGTTCTGATTGTATGTATTATGTTTGATTGAAAAAGCAGTTCAGACTGACATCACAAAAACAATGAAATTAAAACATCAAAACAGGCTGTGTATATATATATATATATATATATATATATATGTACTAGCATTAGTTAATTAGTTATACTCGTTTGTCAGTGTAAACTAAAATTAATTATGAAATATGCCATTGGGACGTAAAAATAAATGAGAGAATGTGAGTGATTTCTAATCAAGAAGTCAATGAGACGTAAGTGATTATTACAATAAATAGCAATGGAACTAGAAACAGCAAACAGCAGTCCTAGAAACATACATACATTGAAATAGGCCTTTGTTCTCATCACTCGCTGCTAAACCACTTTCAAAAAATAGTCTTCACAGGTCAGCCACTGTACAGAAACTGTTGTGGTGAGGGAGTGTATTTCGATAGACCCACACTGATCTCTAACACTCACTTCATCACCAGCACACGAAGCACTGATCAGCCAAAGCAGATACTGGATGATAACTACAAATAATACTGAGCTGGAAATGTTATTGCCATACATAAAAATTACTTATTGTAATATTATTTGTATTTTTTGTAATATTAGTGTTTTTCTGAGCAAATAAGATCTAATGAAGCATCTAGCAGCCAGTTAGTAGCAAACTGAGCTGATGGTAGAGAGATATCTGACACAAAAAGCACTGAGTTAAGCAAATGCTGAATAAGCATTTTTCAATCATCTTGAATAATTGGACCAAGTTGACTAATCATTGTTTCTGATACTGGCATGTGTGGTGGGAGTGCAGGGAATTCAGTAGTTAAGCTTAAGATAGTCGGATTGGGCCACATTGATAAGTCAGACTACCATTTGATGGCATTGTGCCATTAGTCATGATCAGATTACATCTACTTTTTACGAACTATGTTTTTTAAAGATTTGCTCTTTTATTAGGCACCATCAACAAATCCGTCTGTTAATTTCTAATTTACTGATGGTGTCCAGAGACATCAAAAGAGCTGGTTGTATGTGATTTTGGAAAAAAAAAGAAGAAAAAATAAATAAAACTTTATGAAATCAAACAAAGCTCTTTGTGACCAGATTAGATCTTTTAAGTGAACTAAAAGTTTGTTACTCATTACAGTTTAATCATGTAACTTGTAATCTGCATTACATTACAGTTCTGAATTACATTTCTTATATATTCTCCCCAACACTGGTATTAAATAATAATAAATTATTCAAGTTTATCCTCTTGGCACATGTAGACACTTCATATAGATGCATTTACAATTGCTCTATTACCAGTCTTGTAATCAGGAACAGAAAATTAATGCAGTAATACAGAAATACGGAAACACATGAAAAGACATGCTGTCAGCAGTTGTCCAACTTCTAACCACAACGATGGTGCCAAAATAGACATTTCACAACACAGAAGTCTACTAGATGCTCTACTTGCACTATCTATCTGGATCATTGCTGCCAATACTGTGTTTACACTGTTTACTACCTCAGTAATTGTTTTACTACCCCAGTAACTGCTGTGTATAGGTATGTTAACTGACGTAACTTACAGATCACATCACGTCAAATATGTCTGCACCTTATTCCTCATGTCCCGAAATCTGTGCTGTGTCGGTGCTATACTGTCCGGTCTGTTTACTGTGTCTAATGTCTGTTTAATTTATTGTATTTATTTGTTTTCTAGCTTAATTTTTGTTTGCAAACTGTCTGCACGTTCGCACTTTGTAATTTTGTATTTTTGTACTTTGTACTTTTTGTTCCTTGTTGCACCGTGTTGTTCCTGGAGGAATGTAATTTCGCTCCACTGTGTACTTGTACATAGATGGAATGACAATTAAAGCCTCTTGACTTGACTTGAGGTACATCTATAACGTAGCTGGCAGCTCTGATATGGCCACAGTTATATGATAATCACACACCCACCCACACACACACACACACACACACACATATAAATGCATGCAAAGAAATGTAAGACATGTATGCAAAAATAACTCACAAGCTCAAGCCCAGTTTCCTTGTTTCCTGTTCTGTGTTTCCTGAAACAGAAATCATACACTATATTCTCTTATTTGAAATGTAAAATCATTCATCTAACAGAGTTTAAAGTCTGTCATGCATCAGAAAAGTACTGTAACAAGAAAAAGCAACAATAATGGTACAAGATTTCAAATGTTATAATGTACAACATGTTTCATGAATGTAAACATGCCTCAGTGCATTGTGCTTAGTCAGTCTGTAATTCAACTATTTTATAATGTTAAAATCTATAATAAATTCAGTAAAGTGTACCCTCTCTTTTGGCTAAAATGTAGTTCTTTGGCTATTTTTAAGCATTAAAATCCCCCCAAAAGGCTTTGCTATTGCTTATACTGCACTATTCTGCAAATAGTTCCTCCAGTCACATTTGTATACTGAATGTACTTTAAAAAATAATTTATACGAAATTGATCAAATCAAAATCGGCTGAACTTCATGCATTAAGTTGTTTATTAGAATTGTAATCAAATCAAATCTGAGGTCAGAGATCTGCACCTCCAGTTATTACTCTTGTCTCAGCAGGTAAGACTGTGACACTGTTTCATTTCCTACTTGTGACTTCTTAAGCAGTATCTAAAATGTATTTTCCAGTATTATAAGCATGATCATTCTATTGTTGCCAATGCTGCACAGAAATAAAGTTCTTTAAAGTTGTATTGTGCACAAACCAGGTCTAAAGAGGAGAGTTAGGCTAAGACCTTCTATAAAAAGACTGCAGATGAAATATCATGTAAGGCAGCATTTTGTAAAGCATTTTATTGATGAATATGGTCTCTTGTGGTGATAGAGTCATTATCGGGAACCTCTTTGTTTACTGGACAGTTTCTCTTAATCTGTTGTGATGGTTATTCACCTGTTAATCCACACAGCACAGATGATAATAAAGCACACTGCAACAGCTCCTGTAACTGAGGGGACGATGTAGAGAAACATTTTGTGTAGCTCTGGTTTACTGTCTGTGACTGGAAACAGATAAAATAATTGGCATCCCTAAGGATCATCTGCATTAATCACAAATTTATTATACATGAAAAGTATCTTTCAGGTGATGTCGTAAAGAAAAAAAGAATTACCTTCTACGGTCAATTTCCATTGTTTTTGTGCTTCTGATAGGAAACATTTATAGGTTCCTGCGTCTGAAGGCTGTACATCAGATATCTGTAGTTTCCGTGGATTGTTGGGATCGACATACATTCTGCTTGATGTGTAGTTTGTCACAGTTTGGTTAATAACAGGGCTGTAGATAAAAAGAAGAATCTTCTCCTTACGCCATCCGACATCAACTCCTTCAGCTCCTTTATCTTCACTTTCATTACAGTGAAAAACCACAGTTTCTCCCTGAGAAGCAGTTCTGTTGATTGCATGAATATTTTTATCAAATATATCAGTAGAATCTGCAGGAAGAACAGAAGTAATGTTTTATTTTTAACACCTTATGTGAAGATTGTTGGTGAATGTAACAGCATGAAGAGCAGCTGAATCAGTAATGACAAATGTTTTTATTAATACTGTATTAAATGACAGAAGCCAGTTATTCTACAAAAAATGCAACATTTACACTGATATACAAATGTAATAAATTGACATCAGACTGAATAAAAAACCTCTGAATTCATTTATCTGATAGAAAATAGAATACAGACAGAATACTGCATAGAATTATCTGTATACTCAGAATCATCTGTATTCTTAGCTCACATTCTTCATAGTATTTGAATATGTCAGTTCAGTGACCCTTAAGTCACAGTTACAAGCTCGTACAGTGAAAAAGTTTAAAAGCTAAAACAACAAACACATATGAAATGATTACCTCCACAAGTCAGAAGAAAGATGATGATGATTGAAGGTCCCAGATGCAACATCCCAGTCTGAAAAACCACCATAACTGTTTCATTCCTCGTCCTTGTGTGATGAAATAAATGTGTCTATCTTATCCTCTCAGCGCTGTGTAAGATTAGATATCTGCTGAAGTTTTGACAGATACACTAGAGAGTGAAGGTGGAGGAAGTGGGTTTCTGAAAGCAGAACATCAGACCACAACCCCTCAGAGTCAGAAAGGAGGTGAGAGAATGACCCCACAGTCGTGCACATCAAAGTTTTTTAACCTGTTTTCTGAACCCCAAGGACAGTTCTGACCCCACTGTGAGGTACTGTAGGAGTAAGAGGAACGTAGAGAGTGCCAGTTTAAATGGAACCAATTAGTACCTGAATTAATGTGTAAATACTGACCATTTACTGATTATTAAAGAGAAATAAATTTTGCAGACTTCAGCTTCTGATTAAGTCCTCATCTGAGATAGAGAGATCTACAGCAAGACTCACTTCCTGTGTCTTCAAGGACTGCTTAAGATTTCAATCATCAGATGACTACTATTATTAATAATATCTAATTCCTGTTACATGCACAGTAGAAGAATATGCTGATATCATTATAGAAACAGACAAAATCTACAGCACATGTAATGCATGAATTATTATGAATTGTGTGGGTGTGTGTGTGTGTGTGTGTGTGTGTGTGTGTGTGTGTGTGTGTGTGTGTGTGTGAATTAGCTTAAACTGCAGTCCCACAGTAAAAAAAAAGACTGAAAAACGCAGTCAAGCATTCAGACCTTAGATATTTACATTTATTTTATGATGTATTTAAACCTGAGACATAAACAGAAATAGTATTAAGCCAAAAATATGTGAAATCATTATTTATAGAGTACTTTCTACTGGGAGGTCACTGTCCTAGACCCTAACCCCTAAATTTACACTTGTGGAACATTAAGAACTGTCACTACCAAAACACATATTCTCTGAAATTAAGTAAGCTTTTCATTGTTAATGAAAAATATTATGATTTTATCTGTGAACATGTACTGACTAGAGTTTTTAACTTCTGCTCAAAATGAACCAAAACTGTCACTACTAAAACATTTGGTAAAGTTTTGGAAGCATTATTATTGTATTGGAATGTTCAATCATTTATTTTAGTAAAATATACATAATTAAGGCAAAGGGTCACTCAAAGCAATGATTTCAAAATGATTTCAGTCTAAAGTCCAAGTCAATATATATCTGTATATATAAACCTTTTAACTTCACTTACATTATTTCCAATTGCCCTTCACATTGTGGTTAAATTGATTAATAGACCAACAAAAATGATCCAAAGTTACTTGGAACAAAATCTGACTACATGAACTTTCATTAAAATTTAATAATGTTGTTTCCTGAAAAGTTATCATTTTGGAGATACAAGCTTTTGTTCAGACAGTAAAAATGTCTATGTATTAATCCCACTGAGTCACCATATTGATTTATCCTCCTGTAAATCTCCTGAGATTCAGCTAATCCCAGTGATGAACTGGATGATGTGTTTAAGAATAGAGAAAACACTAAACATTTTGTAATGCTGAGGCCCTCAGAACTGGAAAAGGAGAAGTTGGAATGGTCTGTAAATCGTCTGCATGTGCACTTTTACTGTGTGTGAAAGTGAAAAAGGATATGAAAAGTGACAGCATCTTACAAGTTACACAAGACCTCTGTAATAGCATAAGGAGAACATCCAGCTGTAATACTGTATAGCTGTAGTTACAGCTGTAATAAGAGTAGTACTTTATTGAAAGTCCAATACTGCAAATAGCACAGCTTACCTTTGACAAAACCCTGGTTAGGCTTTTAAAAGGAAATAACACTAAATAAAGAGTTAAAACATGCATATGTAACTGTAAGTGTTATCCATGTGGGCATTTGTACATATCTGATCACCTATGTTTGAGCATGTATAAATACATTTGTGTGTGTACATCAATTATAACTTGCTCTGTGTTTGCAGATTTGTGTTTGTTTCTGCCAGTACTTCACGTCTACATCAAGAACTTTAAATTAATTTTAGTTTTCATAAAACAATGAACTGCTATCACAGTTTGGTAGTTTCAAACATACAGTGTGAAGTCATCATCCTTAAATTCCTATCACCCAGTTACTCCACTCCATTTCTGAGATACACATACTGACATTAAGGCCCACCAGTGTTGTAACCATGTGTCTTACAAATGTGTGAAAACTTTTTTTTCCCAGTCTGGAGAGGTGGCAAGAAGGGCAGTTGTAGATGCCGGTATTTGCATCTTGCAAGAGGCAACTCTGTGGCTGGTGTAGTCCTGTGAAACAGACAGGGAACTGAGACTGTGTGGAAAAACAGCACAGTTTGACCTCATCATGTGCAGTAATTATTGTATAAGGCTTTGTGACTGTGAGTGAAGTGGTGCCAGTAGTGTGTGTGTGTGTGTGCATGAGGGGGGTGCATGATGGTTTTGGTGAGAAACTTACACAGGAAGTCAGCGTGTCTCTGTAAAGGTGAAAATTCTGAAGTACCTTTGCCTGAGAGCACAGACAGATTAGATAAGAGAGGATACTTGCAAGGTCATTGTAAATGAACATGTTTGCATGGTCATCAGAAATGAAGATGAAACTGGTATTAAGATGATAATGGGATTTTGCTGTAAACACTTCTGATGAAATGTCTTCTTTCATAAAAAACTTCATCAGTATGTGGTGAATTTACAGGTAGAGCTTATACATATTTCACATTAGATGTAGGCATACTAACTATTCACTTAGTTATATACAACCCTGTTTCCAAAAAAGTTAGGACACTGTGCAAAATGTAAATAGAATGCAATGATGTGCAAATCAAAACCCATATTGGCTGCCCTTCTGTCTTCGGGCCCTCAGGCTGCACTGCATTAAAAACAGATATGATGAGCTCAGGAACACTTCTGAAAACCACTGTCTATGAACACAGTTCGTCACTGCATCCACAAATGCAAATTAAAACTTTACCATGCAAAGAAGAAACCATCCTATACAGGATCCAGAAACACTGCCACCTTCTCTAGGCCTGAGCTCATTTAAAATGGACTGAGGGGAAGTGGAAAAGTGTTCTGTGGTCTGACAAATCAAAATTGGAAATTCTTTCTGGAAATCATGGACACTGTGTGTGTGCTAAAGACCTCTCAGCTTGTTATCAGTACACAGTTTAAAAGCCAGCATCTATGATGGTGGGTGTTTTAATGCACATGGCATGGGGACTTGCACATCTGTGAAGACACCATTTTTGCTATATGATATATATATAAAGTTTTAGAGCAAAATGTGCTGCCATCCAGATGGCATCTTTTTCAGGGAAGGCCTTGATTATTTAAGCAAAACAATGCCAAACCACATTCTTCACATATTACAACACCAGGGCTCCACAGTAAATTAGTTCAGAGGCTAAACTGGCCTGTCTGCAGTCCTGACCTGTCACCCATTGAACACATTTGGTGCATTATGAAACAAAAAAGGAGACCCCGAACTGTTGAGCAGCTGAAATCCTATATCAAATAAAAATGGGAAAACATTTCATTTTTAAAATTACAGCGGTGTCTCCTCATTTCCCAAACGCTTACAGAATGTCGTTAAATGAAGAGATGAGTGGTAAACATGCCCCTGTCCCATATATATATATTTCCCATATTTAATTTATATATATATATATATAAATTAAATTTCTCAGTTTCAACATTTAATGTGTTGTCTTTGTACTGTTTTCAATTAAATATAGGTTTTCATGATTTGCATGTCATTGCAGTGTATTTTCATTTACATTTTGCACAGCGTCCCAACTTTTTTGGAAACAGGCCTGTCATCTGAATTTCTTTAGTTATATTATAGTTCATTAATAGTCACTATTTTTCTTAATCTTATATCACTTCCAGTATCTCTATCTTGTAACCTCCATCTCTTCAGTCCCATTAGCCTCTGTCCACCAATCGCCAGTTTATTAGGTACACCCACATTGTACCTATATTTCCTGACCATTTGGGTTGTGGATCATTCTGAACACAGAAGTGACACTGATGTGGTAGTGAGATGTGAGCGTGTTATGCACAGTGTTGTTGCTGGGGTTTTTACGTACGTCATTGCCACTGCTAGGTGGAGTACATTTCGGCAAAACTATGCAGCCAAGGGCAGCTCTGTGGTCAGAAACTCTACATTGTGGTCTCAAGCTGTACATCTACAAAATGTAACAACAAGGTAGGGCTTTCTTATAAAGTGGTCAGTGAGTGTACACACCCACAGAAACAACACCGTGACATGATGTCAGTGTCACTGCTGTGTTGAAATTGGTCCACTACGCAAATGGTTAGTGAGTGGCAACTCACATGCAGAGCCTAATAGAACTAACCAAGTGGCAGTGTCTAAGAATGAGATACTAGACTTGATACAATGTTATAAAAATTATAACTATTGTGGGCGTATAAGAAGACGTGGGAAACATTGTGCTTTACAGACAAATGCTCTTTTACTGAACAGCAGCAAAGGAGAACCGCTGCTCAGTGCTGCTTGCAAGGCTGAAATAGCAGGCAGGTCACTTCTAGTCATGCACTGTCCATATGTGGTAGATGCACAGACCACTCTAACTATCCCACAGCCCAACACAATAGAGCACAGATAACACTGCTGCATGTGTAAAGCTGACAACAGCAACTTATTTACAAACAAATGTCTCTCCCACCACAGTCGCGGTGCCTCCCAAGCGCCTCCTCTCGCGGCTGCTCTGCATGGCCACAGCTCCCACACTCCCAGAGCATCACAAGCCAGTAGCGGAACACTACACTATTAATAGTAATCAGACTAAAGACTACTGTTACGAAGTATCTGTGTCTGGTCAATAGTGGTACTGTGGTTGCCTTTTTCACTAATGGGTGCTGAGCAAATGTTTCAGATGTGCAGTCAGTCAATTATAAACCTACAGTCATATGCAAAAATTTCAACACTCCTGTCAAATTAGGCATTTTTGTATTTTGTGTTTTTTGTAAAAATATATTAACACGTCATCTACAGGGAACAAACTTAATTATGTGTCTGTGAACCCTTTGGAATGATCTGGA